CAGGGCAAGAGGAAGCTGGGCAGGTCCCAGGCAAGGTGGAGGGAATCAGAAGCCATTCCCAGAGGGGACCTCATTCTCTAGCTTCCCTTTACATGCCATTCCACCTCCCCATTTCATAATCCCCCATGCACACTTTTGTGCATACATCTGCCTCACATGCACCCCTCTGCACAGACAGACTACACTGACTCCTACCCTACCCCAGCTACCATGACTTGCAAGCACTGGATTCCAATATTTGTACTTCAGACTCTCTAGGGACCTGTAATCAACTTCCTAAAATGCTGCAGTCATCAGCCAGAAAAGCATAACTGTGGTTAACATTATTGGGGAGCACAGGACTCACTTATTTATTCAATCATTCCTTCAAAACACACATACTGTTAAATCCTCACTGCTAGCAGAAAACTGATAAACATGCACACTCAAAGAACAAGAGACACAGAGATCCTCCTTCACAGGGACTTAAAGTTGTGTGTATGTTAGTGTTCATACATATATACATGTGTCTGTCTGTCTGTCTACAGCATAGATGAAGATGTAGGGAAGATACCAAACAAACAGTTAACACCTTCATTAACATTTATTGTTGAAAGTGTTGGGACGGGGAAAAACATACTGGGCTAGGACAACATAAAGCACAGGGACCCAAGGACTCAAGGAAGTGATATTTAAGCTGAGACTTAGAAGATACTTTGTTGGTTTAAGAGAAGGGAGCAAGAAGTTTCCAGGGAGATGAATACATAAAGCTTCTGGATCAGGAAGATTCCTGTGGATCAGAGAAGGGAGGTAACAGTACTGGGATCAGAAATGAGGTCTAAGATGGGTCATCAGTGTAGACATTTGAAGGTCAGTCAATGAGTCTGGACATTATCGTAAAAGGAATGAAAAGCTCTGCATGGGTTTGACCAGAGGTGACATTATCAGATTTTCAGTTTCAAGGTGACTCCAGATACACATTGAATTCCTAAACATGTCCTGAGACCCTTCATAGTCTCACAGAACTAACATCCCCTAGTCACCCTCTTTCACGGTTCTTGCCTTTATTTGCCTTGAACTCAGTCTTTCTTTTAACATACGGTTGCTGATTCCCTACTATGTGTCATCCTCCCTTTCAGGCACTAAATTTACAGTAGTCAACAAAACTATTAGAAATGTCCGCCTTCGTCAAGCTTATATTCTGTTATCTATTAGTTTTCCACTGGTGAAATGCTATTGAAACTTCCAGACCAACTCAATTGTCATCTTCTGTATGTGTGAAGTCTTTACTTCCCTCTGCTCATATCCTGGTTATAGAATTAGGGTTCTTGATGATTAGAGTACCACCATTCCCCTGATATACTGACTGGAGAGTTCCTTAGAAGTAGAATGAATTGGGGCCTCTCTGGTGGCTCAATGGGTTAAGGCACAGCACTGAAAGCTGTCCGCAGCCACATCAGCATGAGTCTGTTCCCCAGCCAGGGAGCTACCCACATAGCACAGCAAACCTCTCCTGCCTCGCCCACTGCTCCTCTCAGCAGTGTATTTCAGTAGATCTGCCTGTTCTGCTCCCCACTCTGTCTCTGGCGAATCCTCTCACCCACTGCATCTCAGGCCTGCACCTCAGCTCTTATATGCATAAATAAATAAATATTTAGGAAAAAAAGAAGCAGAATGAATTGTACTAACTTATTTAACATCACTACAGTCTAAAACATATTAGAGGCTCATTAAATATTTTTGAATGAATGAACTGTGTATTAGTCAGGGTCCTCCAGAGAAATAGAACAAATATTACTGACATATATGTGTGTATATGTATGTATGTCAGTAATATTGGTATATAAATTACATTTTATAGACAAATATAACAAAATATAACAAAACCAGAAATTTAACCTTTACTACAAGGAATCGGTTCCCACAATTATGGAAGCTGACAAATCCCAAGATGTGTGGTGTGAGTTAGCAAGCTAAAGACCCAAGAGAGTTGGCTGTGTAGTTCCAGTCTGCTGAGAGTTTCAAGAACTCAGGTGGAGTGGATGTTTCAGTTAGATTTCAAAGGTAAAATAAAATCTATGTCCCAGCTCCAGGGCAACCATGCTGGAATTCTCTCTTGTGCAGGTCTTCAACTGATTAGGTAAGTCCCACCCACATTAGGGAGGGCAATCTGCCATGCGTGGTCTACTGATAATAAACGATAATTTTATCCAAAAACAACCGCACAAAAAATAGGCCCTTGTGGTCCAGTCAAGTTGACATAAAATTAACTATCCTAAACTGTGTTTAAACACTACAAATGAATTGACACGATAAGGCTCCCTGCCTACAGGGTTAGCAGTGCGGGACACTGAATTCAAAGGGCCCACTCCATTAACATGTTTTTGATTAAATGGCAAGGTTAAGTGTTCTTGTACTCAAATGGACTCCCTATCCTCATGGTTCCTAAGGAAAATACACAAATGACTGAACTCCTTCTTCCAGCCTGGCCATTGCCATTCCATGAAGTAAAAGCACTTTTCAATCCATGTGGGCCACTTGGTCTTGAAGGCATTTTCAAATCTAAAGCAGAGACAGAAGTCACCTCTTGGCAATCCTTCCAGGGCTCATCCTTCTGGCTATCTGAAGAGTCCTGACAAAACTTGCATCATCTTCATACATACAGAAGATCTGAGTATAATAAAGTTAGATACAGAGCCTCCATTGCTTATTTTTGGTCAGATGACTGCTTCTAAAACTCATTTTAATTTCATGAAAGGACAAATACCTCTCTATCCAAAATCCCACATGAGAAAAGTATGCACAATTCTTGTTCCTTTTTGAATTACTAGCATTTAAGGATCTCGATAAGCAAGTACAGAGAGGCAGACACTCCGTGATGCTCTGTGGAGTATTACTGGGGAGGAAAGAAAATAGGAATACTATCTCATCTGTTCAGTAAATGGTTTGGCCCAGAGGTCAGTTTCCCTCCTATCCATGTGACCAGCTAAGCCCCATCAAAATCTGAAAAAAAGATGATTACTATTTAAGATTAGATGAACACAGAATTTAAACAGTGGCCTTAAACTCGCCAAGGAAAACCAGGTCACGCAGATATTGGTGACCATGTGGTCTTATTCAGAGCCCAAGACAAGCATGCACTGAGTTCAAATAGGCCCCATATAAGACAATACAGAAGGTCACATTGAAAGGAGAGGAGAAAACCAAATAAGAGGGGTGTGCATAGCCCTCTCGAAAGTATGTGCCTTTACCTTATAGAAAGGAGACTTTAGTACTTAAATTCTTGGATAGCCACCCCAGAGGAGTTCCAAAAATGCAGACGTGCTTCACTATTCCTCTAGTAATCAATTCAAGGCTAGAAATAATTTTGAAAAGTCAACCCATGGCCAGAGAACCTCATGAAAAAAGATGCCAATATTCCTCATGTTACATCCATTTCCTGGAATTTTTGAGAAAAAATTTGAGCCCCTTCAAATTCAAGTCTTCTGGGCAACATGACAAGGTCACATGCACGTCTCATTTATTTAATGTTTCAACATGTAAACTCCATGAGATCAGGAACTGCTCTATTATTTTTTCATCTAGAAAAGTATCTGGCACATAGTAGGTCCCACTGAAAAAAATTTTGTTTGTTTGTAAACAGTATACAACTTTGCAAAGGTCTTTCTAGGACACTAGATCTTGGGATTTCTCTCATTGTATCTCTGTCTCTCTGTTCTTTCTCTCTGTAGATGTGTACAGTGTATATATGTGTCTGTACACACATCTGTATTCTATAGTCACTATGTTGGTACACGTATACATATTTACCAAGTCATTTGTATTCTAGAGATAAAATTTATAATACGTAACTTTACAATTTATATGTAATTATTACATTTGCATTATATGTACTTACATAGAACTTATATGTCAATATATTGTATGTAAATGTATATTTATATATTTTTATATTTATAATTGAACGCATAAGAAGTTGTACTTACGCTACTTATTGTTGCTGTATATTCACCAAATGATGAAGCTTTAGACTCTAATCATTAGTAACATAGCATATTTTAAATATTGCCCATGGTTCGTATACTTAAATTTGCATACCATATTGTTAGCTCTCAACAACGTGATTTGCCAGCTTAACAATGCAATATCTTTTTTTCCCCCCCCCACAGGAACTTTAATTAGAAATTTAGATGGTGAGACAATTCAGATTTGGATGTATTTTAGGAAAATGGGAAGAAATTACTGGACAAAAATCAAATTACAGCCTTATGTCCTGAGAAACAAATTCTACAGGAAATCCTTAAATACACTTCACAGCAGAAGTGACCAGAGAAGGCCTATTGTGACATAAGTCTGAGTGTAAAGATGCCCATTACTCTATCACCTGCCCCTTGGGAGGCTCACAGCCACTCCTCAGAGCACAAGACTTCATGTCTTTCAATTTACAACCACAGAGCTCTGGGATCCAACCCAGTGCCTAGCACATAGCAGATGCTCGGAAAGAATGTTCCGTCTTTACACAGCACAGTTTGCCATCTTACTACCCATGGAGAAGATTTCACTAGCAATTTTGAAAAAGCAGGGAGAATTAAAGAAGAGAATCCAACTCATTCTAGTTGCATTCATCTCATGATTTTCAAGATTCTCATGGAGCAGCTATGTTGGCTGCTGTGTTCCCTCCGTCCCTGCCCCTTGACCCTGACTCTCATTGGACTGTCTTAGAAGAGAGAACATACATCAAAAGCTTTGTTTCCTTGGGCTTTGGATAAACAGAAATGTCTCATGATATTTGAAATTCCATTTGTCATTCCATTTTAATTAGAGAACTTGCTTCTCTAACTCTGTCAATAGCCTTTGAATAGGTGGATGCAGGCATAAATATTTCTGTTTAACAAATGAGGTAATTTGGCTCAGGGATTAGAAGGCTTTGGTGGAGGATATTTTGGGGAAATCTGTGACCTCAGTGGAAGTGGAATCCAGTACTCTGGGCCCCTGTCACCAACAGCAGCAGAAGTACTCACGTCATGATCTGCGTCCCCACGCCAGCCTCCACCAGAGCACCGTCGACAAAGAGCGGAGCTGTAGTGAAGGCGTATTTGTCCCAGCTGTGGCCCTCGTCAAAGCTCACCCTGGTTGGAAACAAGTATATGGAAGAAACAGCTGAATATAAAATCACAATCTTTTGCAACCACTTTTCAGGTTATTAAATTCTCCTCTGTATCTCTCTCTCTGGCAGTTTGGATTATCAATAGGCATTAATCTTCAACATCTCCCCATATTATTTTAAGATTTGATCAAAACTGCATTTCCTGGCCCAGGCAAAGACAGCACCAGTACTGCAGAAATATCTCAACATATTAGAAATGAAAAAACAACCCAAGCAGGAGGGCTTAGTGTATGGAGTGTCACGTTTCAAGTACTCTGAATGGAACCTGAGCTTCAATTTACAGCACAATCAATTCAGCTCTTGGAGTTTCTGACACAGATAAATTGAGTAGTGCAGGGTGTACCCTATGGGAAGGGAGGTGTGTGTCTTTCTGATCAAACTTTAAAAAAAAGCAATTTCCTATTTGTTCAGAATGGATGTCAGGATCATTTTCCCCTCCCCGATGCCACTTTAAGGGCTTTTAGAGTATTGAGTGTCTGTGAAGTTCTGGGTAATATTGTGGCATCTTTAGTTCAAAGGTAAGAGGAAGGTCCAGTTCTTTGTGGACACAGCACCTGAAGCTCCAACAGGAGTTACAAAGGCAGGAAGCTGGAACAGTTCTGAACACTTGCCTCCTTCCTTCTGGATATTATCAAGTTCCTGGCTGCTCCTTGATTTTAACAGGGGCCATGACCCAAAGCCATTTCCTCTAGGAAGCATCTCCTGACATTCCTTCCCCGAGGCAGCTTTATTTGCTTTGATCGCTGTCACTTTTCCTGGCCAAATTAATTCTTTTTTAAGTTCTATTTTTTTGTCATTGAGGTAACATTGGTTGACAACACTGCACATGACGTAGGGGAACAGCATCACACCTCCTCAGATGCATGTCACCATACCCTCACCGCACCCACCACCAAAGCACCTATAGTCCCTTACCATAGACAGTCAGGCCCCCTCTGTTCCTACCCGCTACTGCTCCACTCTACTTGCCTATGTGCTGTAATCATATTTCTAGGGCTTGTTTTAGTTTCATTTTGTCAGTTTCTTTGTTTTGTTCTCTCCATTTCCACAAGTGAAATTACCTGGTAAGGACTTTCTGCTCCTGTCTTATTGCACTTAGCATCGTCCTCTCCAGTGCCACTCAGGATGTCATGGTTCTTTGCTGATTCTACAACTCAGGATTCTCTAAATTCAACCATAAGAGCTCTATGCCTGCAACATACATACAGGCTTCCCCTACCACAGTGCTGAGTGATGATTCCTTAACATGCCTTGGATCCATCAATTCAGGATTATAGTCTTGGGAGTTCAGAGGCCATGTATGTCTGCTCATTGAATGACCTTTTAACATCCCCCATGCATCTTTATTATAATGCTTCTTACTTGATATTACATATATAGTCAAAAAGACAGTTGACTTTCCTACTGAACGCTGAGCTTTTCCAGGTCAAAGATCATGCCATTCATTTATGCATTCCCAGGACTTAGCAGAAAAATTGACACTGAGTTGGTACTATATAAACCTTACATGAATAAATGAATGGGAAAAAAAGGGATGATTAAGGGTACTCTTAAATCCAGCCATTCTTCTAACAAGAACTTATGCTGCCCTCCATGTGCTGGGTGTGTGAGTCTTCCAATTACTAGTTAACTGACTTAGTCCATTTTCTACCTACTTACTTCTTTATCTCTCTCAACCTCTCAGTTTCTTTCTCTCTGTCTCAGCCTCTCTCAACTAATACATTGATTAAAAAGAATAAGATCGTTAACCTCTTTACCCAGGTGGATCAACTAGTCTCAGATATTTTTTGTATTAATGATAAGGCTAGGTCTATATTCATAAACAAAATGTAGATCATAAAAGTTACCATGAGTTCCTAAATTCTAATATGTTGACATTTTCTTAAACAACTTTATTGAGAAAGATTTGACATACAAAAATTGTACAAATTTACAGTGTACAACAGGACGTTTTGATATATGTAGACATACTGTGGAAACACAAGACAAACAAGCTGGCTTTTGGTTCAGGGGAATGGAGAGGGTGGCAGAAAAAATGAGTTGTTGGTCAAAGGGTTTATTGTCTCAGTTATGTAAGACTGATTAGTTCTGGAAATTTAATGCACATCACGATGATCACAGCAATACTGACTTGACTTTCAAGGTCTTGGTCATTTCTGCCTTTTTTGAAATAGGCTAAAAGCTAAATAATCATCTAAGCTGTTCCAGAGAAATTTAAGCATATATGAACTATTTGTCTTAGAAATGAGTTTCCCATTTCAGAAGAGAAAATAAAAGCAAGCTAGGAAATTGATTTTACCTTTGTTTTTCCATGTACCCCCTTGGTTCCTAAACTAATAATACTTGTTTCAGAGTGTACCATTACCACTAACTAGCTCCCTTCTGGTAAGTCTATGAGGTAAGAAAGTATTTGTTAAGTGTTTTGTTTTGGTGACTTTGGATAAATTATCTATTGTCTTAATAGGAAGAAGACAAAATGAATTTAAGGCCTCTGCCCTTGTCTCATTCTTAGAAATTCCTTCCCAATAAAGGTCAGGTATTAACACTAGCAGAGAAAATCACAGTGTCTACACCTGGGAGCACTCTAGGGAAGGAGCAGTCTTCATACCACAGTCACTGATAGCAGGGAAGAGGGCACTCATTGGCATACAATGTAGATAAGACACCACAGAGTAGACCAGGAGGGCCATCACAGCCTCCCAGGGCCAAGGTACAAGCTCCAGGGAAAAGCTAAGCCCATGATGGAAAGAGAAACTGTGGAAGAAAAACTTGCTTTGGGAAAAAAAAACTTGCATGAGGAAGAAGCAGAAGCATGGGTTAGGCAGAAGCATGGAGTCAACAGAAAAAATGAAAGGTGCTAAAATCCAGGTGGGGAAAATAGCAGCTAGAATAAACAAAGTCCAAGGATGACATAAGAGCAGCCAAAGGAAGGGGCAGGTGTCTGGCATCAGGGTGGGGAGTGAATCCTGTGACCTTAGTGTATGGTTGTCTATCTCTATAAAGTCCAAGACTGTGCCATTCAGGTGACATCCTGAGACCAGTAATGCATAACACTTGAATATCTCAGACTAATGAAATGATTAAAAATAAAACAAAACAAATCTCCCTAAAGGATACTCCAAAAAGAACATTAGTAAATTTAGCCTGCCTCTGGAGGACCTGACATTTGTGAGAGCTTTTTCTGATGATGAGGAGTTTTTAAATGATCAGAAGTAACAATATTGACAGCTCTCCCCATGGGATCCACCTTCTCCTCAATTCAATAGCTCATTAATGGCCAAGATGAATGGGGAATTCCTTATTGGATCCACTGGAACAAGTGAAATTGGTAGGATTGCCAATACTCAGGGAGACAGGAGGAAAGCTTGAACTGACCTCCAAATAGTGGCAAAACGGGACTACAAAGCTAAACTAAAAAAAAAAAAAAATGCAGCCACAAAATATTGATGCCCATGATGTGCCTGGTTTAGCAGTGGCCTCTGTTCTAAGGATATAGGGTTAACAAGAAAGTGAAGTCCCTTGATCCAGTCGAATGTACAGTCTGGTTTGAGGAGACCATGAATACCAAAATACGAGTTGGAAACAAATGAGAACTGTTCATGAGAACAGTTAAAATAGAGCAACTGAATAGCTACTTTGCGTTGAAAATTTAAGTAAGTCCTCTCTTAGGAGGTGATGTTTAAACTGAGATCTGAATGATAACAATTATGCAAAAATTGAGATGAGATCACTACACTGGGAAGATTCAGTGTGAAAGTAAGATTCAATACGGGAAGAATGAAAAGATGGTCAGTGTTAGAAGAGTAATAGGAAGGGAAAATAATGGAAGGAAATGGAGTCGCAAAATCAGGTGGGAACCAGGCTATGAACAATCTTGTTTCCAGTTGAAATGGGAGAGATATGATTTGATTTAATTTTAAGGGATAATTTTTATTTGTCTGTGGTAAATGGATTGCTGAGGCTGAAAGAGGATGCAAGGAGATGAACTGGGGAGAAACTTGGCAACTGAAGGAGACCAAGAAAAAGAAGGGGCTTGGATAAAGGATATAGTAGGGGAGACAGAAAGAGATGGAAAGATTTAGAATATTTTTATGGGTGAACCCAATGGGATTTGGTGATGGTATATTTATAGGTTATTTAAGCAAAAGCAAAATCACGTACAACATGGGTTTTGGGGAATACATAATTGATTAAGTAAAGGAAAGAACAGGAGGAAGAGAGGTTTTTTGTTTGGTTTGGTGAACGAGAAGGTTTACATAATTTTTGATTTTCATGTTGTGATACTCTCAAGGAGACCATGGATCAGATTTCTGGGGAGTGATCAAAGTTGGGGACGCATATTTGCACATGAACTATATGGCGGGACCAACTTAAAGCACAAGCTTAATTTAAAAGAATAAAAAAGTCCTATATCAGGAGAAAAGAGTAAGAACGGATGACTCAAACTGAAAACAAACCTGGGGCTGTTGTCAATCACAAGGTAAACATTTTGTAACAATGGTTCCATTGTGAGACATGACCAAGCTACTACAAATCTAGTTTACATTCAAAGACAGATAACATGCAGTCATCGGATAATTTATTTCTCTATCAGATACTAAATACTATGTTCATTTTTAATTACTGTCAAAAACCTGACAATCAATGTGATTAAAGGAATAAATAGGTTGTCCTAGAAACAGGTTATATGAATTGAAGATAGCTTAGGGAAAAGAATAGAGTTGAATGAATTACCATTTCCTTTTAATTTTTTTTTTAGTAAGAAAGTTTCCAAATAGCTAAACAAATAAACAAATGCAACACAGTTGGTTGACTACTGATATATTTTCGAATGAAATCAGAGATAATGTACTTGGAAGCATGAAAATATCAATTAAAAATACAGAGAAGATAAAAGAGAAAAGATTTCCATTCTTAAATTTTTTCTAAAGATCATAGTCAAATATTTGTGCAAAGCATATA